GCCACACGCACAAGCCACCAAAAACAGTTCCTCGCTCCTCCCAATCATGCCACTATTGTTTACACGTGTGCAAAACTGCCATGAGTCTCGCAAAATCAAACGCACTGGCTGAATCGAAAGGAGAGTCCCGCAGACGTGTCCACCTCCACTCCATTCACTGGCCTACACCTCAAACGCCAAACCAAATCCACAAAACCGCCAACATCAAAGGAGGCCATTTGCCTTCTTGAGATCTCTCCAAAGCTTAGCAACGCGTACCCTCCGAACCTAACGCCAGTCGCCACTACTCGAGGGCAGGCTGCTTTGCGCTCTCTCCCCTCAGCACCCCGGAAAAGCTCGCACAGCTCTCCTTCCCTCCTCACCTATTTCGCCCATAACCCATTGCGCATCATGCAACGACGCGCATGACACGCCTGCTCAAACACCAACAGTCTCTCCGTCTGACATCCCTATCTGCCCGAACGACGTGCTTGCCGCCTACGTCTTTGCCTGCTGGGCACCAACAGCAGCAAACAAGCATCAAGCTACTCAGCGCCATTCACCAAACGCCACCGCACCGCATGCGACACACAACCGAAACGCCCACGCCACACGCACAAGCCACCAAAAACAGTTCCTCGCTCCTCCCAATCATGCCACTATTGTTCACACCCGTGCCACACTGGCATGAGTCTCGCAAAATCAAACGCACTGGCTGAATCAAATGGCCAGTCCCGAATAGGTGGCCACCTTCACTCCGTTCCGTGACATCAGACACCCACCCTAGATTGCCATGGATTCGCCCCGTGCACCCGAGTAACATCGTACAATGTCGACCGTCGCAGAGCCACCATGCTGCTCAGGCGAACCTGCGTACACGCACAGACCACCAACACGGCTTTCCGCACACATCAAACCCCAGAAACCTCGACAGAACCGGCAACATCAAAGGAGGCCATTTGCCTCTTTGAGACCTCTCCAAAAGTTAACAACTCGTACCCTCCGTAGGCAACGCCATCCGCCACTACTCGAGGGCAGGCTGCTTTGCACTCTCTCCCCTCAACACCCCGGAAACGCGCGCGCAGCTCTCCCCCCCAGAAACGCTCGCACAGCTCTCCTTCCCTCCTTACCTATTTCGCCCATAACCCATTGCCCATCAGGCACCGACGCGCATAACACGCCTGCTCGAACGCCAACACACCTTACGTCTCATATCTGTATCTGCCCGAACGACGTGCTTGTCTGCTGGGCACCAACAGCAACAAAAACGCAAGCCGCAGCCCACTCAGCGCCATTCACCAAACGCCACCGCACCGCAACGGGCACGCAACCGAAACGCCCACGCCACGCGCACAAGGCACCCCAGACAGTTCGCCGCTCCTCCAAATCATGCCACTATTGTCCACACCCGTGCGCAACTGCCATGAGTCTCGCAAAACCAAGCGCAGGGGCTGAATCAACACGCCAGTCCCGAATAGGTGCCCACCTCCACTCCGTTCCCTCGCATAAAAAATCCAGCCTATATTGCCATGGATTCGTCCCATGCACCCTAGTAGCATCGTACAATGCCGGCCTTTGCAGAAACACCATGTCGCTCAGCCGAACCTTCACACACGGACCACCGATGCAACTTTCCCACAGCACAAAGCCAAACATAACTCAACAGAACCTCCGACACAATTTCCAAGCACGGGTAACGAACAAACGCCTCCTGAGACAAGCAAACCAGTGTACGCCATTGTGTAAATGATGCAATACGTATAAAGTACGCGTTGGACAGCGTTGGCTACCCCCGACCACCGCGGCTTTTCCTCAGTCACTAGACCCCATCACCCCGTCCTTCCACCACTGCGAAATACACCTAACGACAAACACCACTCACACGCGCGCTCTATTAAGAATCGTTAAACCTATGCTCTCCCTTCATTTCGGCCTGCGGTGAAAGGCTACACAAACACAGCCATACCGGCGGCGCCTGTGCTGCTGATTCTTCAACGACCGTACAAACTACCCATTCA